GAAGATTTGAAAGATCCCTGCAATGAAAAACAAAATTATTTGCATCAGAAAACAATAAGCACTCAAATTTTCCTATTATTCACCATATTAAGGAGGATCTTTAATGAGTTTGATATTCAGGCTCAGATTTAGGCTTTGAGAAGCCCTTGGGGTAATAGAAATTGGGGACACCTTCATTATGTTGGTCCCCCACTTCTCATGTTCAATATTGTACAATATTGAGCAATTTTGCACTTATAACATGTCTGTGTTCAATGAAGTGTAAAATTGAGGAAAAGCAACATCAAATCTCTACTGGGTTGGTGCATAATTATCAGGCGTTTTTGTAGACGAGTTATTTGTTAATGAAAATTGCTGTTTTGTTTACTTTTTTAAATAAAAATATTTTTTTATTTTTGGGTTATAAAAATGCATATTTGATAATAATGCGCTCTGGAATAATCATTTAAAAATATTATTTCTTTTTTTCATAGTGTTTAAAAAACACCTGATAATTATGCACTAACCCAATATATTGTTATTTTTAATTAAGTAACAAATGAAAGGGCATAATAGCCAGGTGAAGACATATATAAATATTTACTTTATCATTTAAGCATTAAAATTAATTATTTATATGAAAAATGAAATAAAATTTTCCTAACTGAAGAAAAGACAAGAGTTCTCAAAAATTAAAAATGGTAGCCTGTCTAGAAAAAAATGGAAGCCAAATGGCAATGATTGAAAGAAAAGGGAAAAAAAGGGAGAAAAGAAAAGAGAAAGAAAAAAAAGAGAAAAAGAGAGAAAAAGAAAAAAGAAAAAAAAGACAGAATAGATTAAGCAGTGAGTGTAAAGTGGGGAGGCAAAATTGACAAATAATTGTAACATTCTACATGTACACACATCCACGCAGATAGGTGCATGCAAACACCTGCACATATATACTATGAATAAAAAAATCTTGCACCAATGATAAGTGCATATGAAAAAGAAAAATTGAGTAGTATAAGCTATCAATGAAAAGGTCTGTCTACAAAACTTTGGAGTCATGATGCTGAAGATAACATGAATCCACTACCGCTAAGTGGCAAACCTTTTACTTGTATTTTATATATATATATATATATATATATATATAAAATTGAAAGTGGATACTTTAAAATTCCATGATATTATTTTTATTTTGTGAGTTCAAATCAATCCAGTCTCATCAGATCAAACAATTTTACAGCCGAAAAATTGTTTGATCTGATGAGACGAGATCGATTTGATCTCATGAAATAAAATATTATCATGGATTTCTAAAGTATCTGCTTTCATCCTTCATTATTTGCCCTCTTTTTATATTGAATTTGGAATTATCCATAGTAGTTACCAAACAATATTATATATATATATATATATATATATATATATTTTTTTTTTTTTTTTCTGTTCATACTTTATTATATACAATTTATTTAAGTAAATGAACAATATTAAGTTCATTTGCCGAAGTGAATGTTCAAGAAATTTCATAGAAAATATACCTTCTCCATCTGGAATCGAACCTGTGTCATATATAGACCCATCAATTAAATTGATCTGCTATACCACTCGGCTATAGAGAAGTATCTAGCTAGCAATGTCCAAATTACTGTTTATAAACAACAAATCTTAGAAGAACTTTCCCAATCATCATATCTGTTTGTGAAATGTACCTTAATGTAAACATTGACAACATATTATGAAATCCAACAATTATTTAATATATTTTCTGTTTATACATTATTTTAATAGATAAAATTCATTTAATTAGTTTTGTGAGCAGCTATGATTGTTCACTAAAGATTGTTGAAGATTTGTTTTTTTATAAACAGTAATTCAGACTTTGCTAACAGTTCTATATTTTTTTTAAGCAATTCACTCCAAGCAAGGCAGGAGTGACACTAGCATGGAAGGGGCTACAGAGAGTGTGAGTAAGAGTAAAGAAGAGTGTTTGAGGAAAGGATAAAGAGAAGGTCAAGGAATCAGAAGATGTCGATTGACATTACATTTGAATATTTGAAGATTATAGCTATCAAGGAAGAAAGTGATAAAAGGGAGTTCCACTGATGAGAGGTGTGAAATAAGAAGCTGTTGGAGTAGAAGACATGGCTACATTTAGTCATTCTGACCGTGAAAGGGTGGGACCAAGATGCCAACCTAGTAGTGTGCTTAAATTCATGCAATTTGAGAACCAGTGACAGTAGCTTGTTGGAGCAGTTGCTCTGAAAGTACTTGTAGAAAAGGCAGAGGGAAGCCACAGCACATCTGTGAGATAGCGACTGCAGACAGGATACCAGATCAGGACCAATCATGTTGCATATCTATCACTGGATTTTGTCTAGGACCTCGAGATGAACAGCAGGAACACCAGACCATATATGACAGCAGTATTCAATGCAAGGACGAATGGTTGACTTGTAGATCTGAAGGATGGACTTTGATGAGAAGAACCTTCAGGCGCAACATGGAAAACCAACTATCCTTGTGGTAGATGAAGCTATAGATTCAATGTAGTTGTTCCACTTCAGGTCAGTGGTCAGTGTGTGACCAAACAGGCATAGAGAGGTGCTCTCATGGAGCTGAGCATCAGCCATCCTGATTGTAGGCAGGGAGGGTTCTCTTTGGTGGGTAACTGAAAGCAGTTTTATTTTAGAAGCATTGAAGTTTACAAGCCATTTCCAACCTGAGTCAACGACAGAGTGGAGGTCCTTCTCGAGGCCTACTGCCAGATTAGTTTTATCAACGATGCCAGATCTACTATTAAGGCAGGAGTAAATTGTAGTGTCATCAGTGTAGATGTCAACTTGGGAGTTGATGACATCAGGAAAATCGTTGATGAAGATCAGAAACAGTGCTGGACCCAGTATAGAGCCATGGGGAAAACCAGTGTTTGTGTGAAAGGAACTGGAGGAGAAACCATTAGGACATGGTTTGACAAGAATGATTTAAGTCAAATAATTTTCCTGTAATGCCGTATCCCTGAAGCTTATGAAGAAGTCCAGCATGCAAGACCCTATCAAATGCTTTAGAGATATATAAAGCAATGGCTTGAGCTTCCCCATTATTGTCAAGTGCTTGGTATATAAATTCAGTTATGGTCATGAGCATGTCATCAGTGGACCAGGCAAAGTGGAAACCATATTGCTTATCTGAGAACAGATCATCGGATGTAAGGTGCTTGATCACTTTGGCATTGATTAAAGCCTCACAGACTTTGCCAAAGAGTTGAAGGAGACTTATAGGACAGCAGTTAAATAGGTCAGAAGGGACAACAGATGAGGACTTCCAACAGTCCGGAAAGCAAGAGTCAGTGAGGCAATCATAACATAGTTTGGAGAGGACTGGTGTCAGTTCAGGAGCACATTTCTTCAGGACAACTGCCGTTATCCTGTCCCTGCTACTAGTCTTATAGGGGTCTAATTTGAAGACAATACCCAAAACCATCAATGGGATTACGTTTATGTTACTCAACAGAGCCTCAGTTTTAGGGGGAAAATCAGGTGTGGGTACTCTGGCTGAGTCAAGCGTTGAATTTGATGAGAATTTCTGAGCAAAGCATTCAGCCTCATCAGTTGAGGAAGTCAGTACCTCAAATTGATTGAATTGAGGAAGTATTAAGGATTTACTGTTGTTCAGCACACTCTTGCAGAGTTGCCAATAATCTCTAGAACCAAACTCATGAGATGCAATACATTGTTTCATTTTTCCAGCAAATAGTAGTTTTGCTTCATTGAGGACATGCTTGAACTCATTATCGGCAGAGACAAAGAGATGCCTATTGCGATCAGACATGTCACTTCAGTACAGATGGAAGAAGTGATTCCTATGGAATGCTGAGCAAGCATCTGTGAACCAAAGAGATGAGCGTAATTTAACTTTGTATCTTTTTGCAGGGATGAAAGCCTCAATTCCAGCTTTAACCCTGTAGGAAACCTCAGATGCACATTTTTGAATGGGGCATTAAAAACCACATTCCAGGGGACATCACAGAACGAGTCGCAGTCTGCGTGTTGATAACAGAAAGATAGTCTGTTAGTTGGAGGTTCTTTGCTGAGGGAGGAGTAGAAGGAGATGTTAACTGACACTATGGCATAATCAGAGTTGCCAAGAGGGCAGAGCTATGTTACATGATAGAAGTCGGGGACGAAGGTAAAACAGAGATCGAGAAGGGAAGTCTTACTCTCAGGGTTACTGGGGAAATGCGTAGGAAAATTAACCACTTGTGTGAGGGATTGAGTGATTGAAAAGTTAAGGGTTTGTATTCCAGTGAGGTCAGTTATAGAATTTTTAAGCCATGTGGTATAGTGGGCATTAAAGTCACCAAATATTAATATATATAGGACACAGGCTTGATTTTTTTTTTGGAGAATGTATATTTTCTACAAAGTTTCTTGAACATTCAGGTTGGTAAATGTCATTAATACTGTTTATTTAAAAAAACAGAGCATTTACTTAAATGAATTGTTGGACTTAATCCATTTCATTATGTATATATATATATATACACATACAAGGTGTCCATAAAGTACGTGTGCACTTAAAAAAATTATAACTTTATTTGTATTTGCAATAGAAATAATCTGTAAAATGTTATAAAGTTTGATGTACCTAGTTTTGAGTATGGCTAAAATAACTAATGTGATTTCAGGCATTACTGTAAATCAGTTGGCAAATGTTTTCCGTGAACTGCAAAATTGTATTACCCTTTGTATTGCTAATGATGGAGGACATGTGGAAACTTAAATAAAATTTCAATAAAACCTTAAAAATATAGATTTACTTCTTTTTAATCCTTTTTTACAAATTATTTCTATTGCAAATACAAATAAAGTTATAAATTTTTTAAAGTGCACACGAACTCTATGGACACCTTGTATATATTCTAAGGAATATTTATTTTATATGTTTATTATCTAAAATTGGTACAAATCATCAGTTGACAGCCCGTATCTTCATTTCACTCCTTTTCATTCAATATCCATTTCCTTTAGGCATATGGCGATATCAGATTGGAATACCAGTGCCCATATGATCACTGAAGTAAAGCAACATTTAGCCTGGTCAGTACCTAGATGAGTGACCACTTGAGAATAGCAGGTGCTGTAAGTTTGGATGTGCAGTGGTGTAATGGATAATGGCTCAGAATTGTTAATCAGAGAGTCAAGTTCAAATTCCAGCTGGTTTTGTTATATTCACTTATTCGCAATTACACTTGGGAAAAGGTATGAATCCACCTCTTTTCTTCCCAGCAATGGGTTAATTAGTAAGACTTGTTTCATTAAATCATTATCGTCTCAAAAACAAAAAAAATTCTTACAATCTAAAAATATTTTCCAAAAACATATTAAACTCCTTGTTGATAAGTTGTAAAAAATGAATAAAACAATCAAAAATCTATATGTATATAAAAAGTTGCATCAAAAAATAAAACAAAGTCCCGGATGTAGATAATGTGTGTGTGTTATTTAACCTCTAATTCAAAGAAACCTAAAATAACTAAGGGATCAAATAATTCTAATTTGTTTCATAGGAACCCCTTTAAATCTGAAAATAAACAAAAACAAAACTCCTCTGTCCTGAAATTTTTTTTTTTTTTTTACTTTTAAGAATTTTTCTAGTTAAAGGCTCCATGAGAATGGAATTTTCTAACCTATACATAAATCCAGTACTAGTGAGGTTCTATTTATTGGTGCAATATAATTTTTTTCTTACTTTTATTCCAGCACTTGATTAACCCATTAAGGCACATGATAAAATCTGGTATTGAGAATAAAAATTAAAAGAAGGCGGTACGTTTAATTACAAATTTCTAAAATAATCCAAAATTAATTACAGACTTCTAAAAAACCTGGTACTAATTATTGGTTTCTGTTCATTAATGCTCACTAGCAGCAAGGGGCTTTGATTGGGTAATTGGAGGTTTTGAGGAGCATGGAAGCAACATTTAATTACTATTGCTAAATCCAATGTTAAACATTGACCCCAGAGCAGTAGCACCTGTTAGGGTAACACCAGCTTTTAAATAATGAAGAAAATTCAACAGTGGTCAGAGAACTGGGATAATATAAAAATATATTTTTATATTGAAAATACCAGCAGTATATTTTTATAAAAAAAATTGCCAACAATACATTTTGAAAGCAAAATTAAAAGCTACATATTATAAAGTAAAATTACAAACAATATGTTCTTTAATTAAATAAACAATAATACAGCACTAAAATTACTAGCAATACATTTTTATCATCTATAAACTATATTTCTAAAAGAACAACACAGAAAAAAGTAATAAAAGATTTAGTGAGAAATTATCTCTAAATTATGTTATCTAAAGATGAGAGAAATGAATAATAAAAGGTTTAGTGAGAAATTATTTCTTAATTATGGTATTTAAAGATGAGAGAAATGAATAATAAAAGGTTTAATGAGAAATTATCTCTAAATAATGGTATTTAAAGATGAGAGAAATGAATAATAAAAGGTTTAATGAGAAATTATCTCTAAATAATGGTATTTAAAGATGAGAGAAATGAATAATAAAAGCTTTAATGAGAAATTATCTCTAAATAATGGTATTTAAAGATGAGAGAAATGAATAATAAAAGGTTTAACGAGAAATTATCTCTAAATAATGGCATTTAAAGATCAGAGAAATGAATAATAAAAGGTCTAGTGAGAAATTATTTCTTAATTATGGTATTTAAAGATGAGAGAAATGAATAATAAAAGGTTTAATGAGAAATTTTCAAAAAATTATTGAGTGGAAGAATTTCTGATTCAAGTTGATTGTCAGAATTTTTAATAATCTTTTTCTTAATTTTTATTTTCATCTTTGGCTTTTGAATATTTTATGAATATCCTGAACACTGAATCAACTGATAATGCAAAACAACAAACATTTCAAACAAAAAAAAATGCAAAAAAATCTGTTCAAAAATTTGGACAGATGTTAGAAACTTCAAGATCAAATTGAATGTAAGTAAAACTTCCATCATTGTTTCTGAGATCTCTTGAATAAAATACTGTAAAGGGATTTTCAATATATATACTGAAAAATGCATACTGGTTACAGCAGAATTATAAGGTTGCTTGAAACATAACAGAATTATGTGGATGATTGAAATATAAAGGAATTATATGGTTGCTTGAACTATAACAGAAGTGGGGAAAAATGGTAAATATACTATTAAATAAAGACAATGTTCTAAACTTTTTAAAGTACTTTTAATTTCATTTATTTTAAAAAAATTACATTTTTCCTCCTGAGGTCATTGTACTGATGATGAGGTGGTAGGCCATGCTGATGACATAGGTATTATATAGTTGGGATTAGAATAATCTTGAACAAAAAAAAAAAAAAATCAACATCCTCTACCATGTGTTCCAATAGGACTATTTTTTTTTTTAATCATTTCATCCCAAACAAGGCAGGAATGCCACTAGTTTACAGAGGGTTACAGAGAGTGAATTTGAGAGAAAAGTTTGGGTATAGGGGGAAATGAGGAAAAGGATAAAAGCGAAATGCAGTTCAAGAAGATGGCAATTGGCATTGCATTTAAATTTTTGAAGATTGTTGTTATCAGGGAAGCAAATAAACAGAAAGGAGTTCCACAGGTGGGAAGTGTGTGAAAAAAAAATATTGGAATAGAAGTGATGGTTTACATTTGCCTAATTCAACAGTAAAAAGGGTTTCTTTAGATGCCAACTAGTATACATTAAACTCATATAGTCCAGGCATTATATCAAAAAAAACTTTATAATGCAGTAGCCATGAAAATATTTGTAAAAAGATAAACCTTTCCAAGACAGAAAATATAATATGGAATTGGAATAAAAGCAGTGATGGCACTTCCCCTGAACCCATCATAAAAATTCAGGAATTAGTAAATAGTAAACATCTTGGTATATGGATCACTTATAACACATTTGGTAGATCTTACTTATTATAAAATGCAGATTGTGTGTGTGTGTGTGTGTGTCTGTAACGTTTATATATTGGATCGAATTTCCTACATTCTTTAGCCGATTTCAACAAAACTTCACAGGACTACATAAAATTACCTTGTGATGGTTCTAACGGCGTCGATAATGGGAAAAACAAAATTGTTTTTTTTTTTAAAATCAATTTGAAAACACGATTAAGACACATCATGAGAATGAAAGGGGGACAACTCACCCACGAAAATGTAAACAAAAGAGCATAGCATGATGAAAAAAAAATTCGAACTTGACGAAAACAAAATTTTATCGTCTAATGTTCATATTATTATTAAAGAGGAAAGATCAAAGTATTTTTGGGGTATTTTTTTTTACATTTTTTAATCGTTCCTAGCACGTCTGAAATTTTCGTTAAAAATATTGTTTTTTTTTTTTGGTCAAAAAAAGACAGATAATCAATCATTTTCAATCATTTTTTTTCGATTTGATAAAAAGATTAAAATCTGACTTTGATATTCTCTTTTAAAAATCAATTATCATTTTTTCAAAACTGATTTTAATAAAAACAGAAATTATACTGTTTATTTAAAATATTTTGAACCAAGCTTAACTTAGCTTCTGCGCCGAAAAAAATGTAATTTGAAAATAAAACAAAGCAGGTCATAACCTTTCGCGTCGCTTGACGATTGACGAAAGGCACATTCATGACGTTTAGATAACTTACGGGAGGATAATTCTTTCTACGGATGGAAGGAAGTGAAATTATTTAAGTGAACAAATTATTTACCTCGTTACTTTTAAGGAAAAACTTTCAGCGCTCTAATTTTTTTTTTTTTTTTTTTTTGTACTTAGCTTTCATTTTTACGTTTACGATGCTTTATGGAAAATATAAAGAAATTAAAAAAAAGACTGTTAATAGTGAGATTAAATTTCATAAGAAAAAAGGTATCTAATTAATTTAGGTACCTTTCTTATGAAATTTTATCAGAAGTGTACATAAAATACTATAATTTTATGTACATTTATTACATTTTACTGTGTTATTTGTATTTCCATTCATTTTATTATTAATTTTGATATTTCATTTATGGAAAAATGTCATAACTGAGATTAATATAAAAATAAGATCATATAAATTAAAGTTTAGCAGTAGTTAAATTTCATAAGATGATACTGTTACTTGTAGGTACCCTTCTCAGTTGAAATTGAAAACTCAAATTAACTTCTCCATACGTGTTTCGCAAAAAAAGTAAAGGGCTTAACAGCGGAGAACAATGCTGAACTCAAATAATGCAACTAAATTGTATTCTGGTTGGTCTTCCGTACTTGATAATTACTGTCCGACTATAAACACAAAAATTACATTTCTTAATTACCATGGCTAATCTGATTGGTCCAAATTATACAATTTTCAAAGCGCTAGACAATGACAATCTCACACGGACATTTTGAAAGGTTGATGTTGCTTTTAACTAATGTTAAAATATTTTTTTAAATTCAATTTAAACATTTTTTTAAAATCTTTTTAAAATTAAAGAAATAAGAAATAATTGTATTAAAAATTCAATTTTCATTGAAAAAATTTTTTGCTTTCAGAAAATATTGTCCATATTCATAAAAACAAATTAAAACAAATAAAAGCATTTGAAACTAAATAATATATTTGTTTTATTGAGTTTTGTATGTTACAATTCACAGCTGATTTTCAGGTACGTTGGCCAAAAAAAAAAAAAAAAACATGATTTGCATTCTTCAAAGCCTTGTGCTTTTAACTATTGTAATCACTAAAACCGATGGTCTCGAATTTCTAGAGTTTTTCATAAAATTAGTTATGGGGGTGTTAATAAATATAAAAAAAAATATTTCTGCCATGACTTTAATAAAAAAAAAAAAAATATTTATAATAATTTCGATCATCTGTGAATAGTTTCTGAAAGTTTCATTAACATCTGACAATTATTTTTATTTTTGCAAGATTTTCCAAATTAATGTGTGTAAAAAAAAAAAACGCGCTAAAAATTATCTATGTTATTATTTACTACCCCTTGTTGCGACAAAGAGAAACAAGGTTTTTAAATCAAAATTTAGAATATTCTAAAAAGATGGAAAAATTTTTAAAAAATAATTAAAAAAAATTTAGTCTATCCTCTTCATAAAAACATAAGCAT